TCCGTGGGCCGACGCCGCGGGGGGCGGGGGGCGCTGGAGGTGTGAGCCGCGGGTTTTCCTTTGTTGACTTCGCGTTTGACGACGGGATATCAGCGACGCCACACGCCCCCCCCCCGTTTTAAAGAAGCGTTTGTGGGGTGCGTTAGGAGCTCCGGGAGGCACGGGCTCCCCCCCTGCGGGAGGCCCTCCGTCCGCCATCAATTATGCAGACGGTGCGGCCGTGACCTCCTTGGAGTTTCCGTCCGCGACGAGGGGAGGGCTGGCCGCTCCGCTTTCAGGTCGGGAGCCGCAGGGTTAGGGGGGCCTCGCTCCTCTGGGGGCGCTGTCCTCTGGTGACATTTGGGGATAAGGTGTGCGAGTGAGGACCTGGAAAGCCCCTGTGCGGGTGGAAAAGGGAGGCGGTGCCCTGGCCGCCGCGGCTCCGCCGGTTGGAGGTGGTCCCTGCACGAAGGGTCTCGGGTTCGAGTCCTGGTCCAGGACACCGACCGGGTTGTGGGTAACCCTGGTGGCAGCTGATGGGTGTTCCTCTCTCTCTCTCTCTCTCTCTCTCTCATCAATGGAAACCGTGTCCACGGGGAGGATTAAAAGAGAGAGAGGGGTTGCGGTTGATGTATTTCCACTCACAACTTTGTGTGTATTTCTCTCACGTTCAGAGAAGAGAATAAGTCCGAATACTTATTTCACTGACGTTTAAGTCTGCACTTGGGCCCGGATTTAATTTCGTTGCTCACGGTTTTGTGTTAAACGTCACTCCATCTGGCAGGTGACCTGGCCGCCCCGTAGCCCGCGTGCAGCTGCCCTCGCTGTCCTGACCTGCCCGGCTCCTCCCGGGCTTTCCTGCTCGCGTGCGTTTGCTCAGCAAATATTGATTGTGCATCAGGGCCTTCCAGGGGGTGGAGGACGCGCCGTGGGCACGGGGAGTGAGTGACGTGGGGCCTGTCTGAGAGGTTGAAGCCACGGGAACCGAGGACGCCGTGAGGGTGGGGACGGGGTTAGAGGTCAGAGCTGGCTGCTGGGCAGAGGGTGGGGAGGGTGTGACGCGGAAGGTCCGGGTGTTCTGGGCCTAGGCTCAGGCCAGGGCGCTGTGCAGAGGCGAGGGGGGGAGGAGCACGGGGGACCCTCCTCCAGCCGCCCTCGGGGCCCCGAGTGAGCTTCCAGGGCTGGGAGCGGAGCGGAGTCCACGCTGCCCACCGGCACCGGGAGCTGGTTTCCATCCTCAGCCGCAGGGAAGGGCGTGGGAGCTTTTAACCCACGTCCCCAGAACGAGTGCTGGTGCGTCCGCGGTAGCCCATGTGCCCCCCCACCCCCCTCTCTCTCATGAAAGAACACGGTCCCTGTTCTCTCGGGAGACGTGTGGGGCTGTGAGTGGGCGGAAGAGACCCTGGGGCGGCAGTGGAGGGGAAGGTGGGGGCCCCGGCTGCACAGCGGCTGGTTCGTGCTGCCCGGGGAGGGGCTGCTCTTAGCTCTTCTGGGCGAGTCTTCAAGGTCCTCCAGGCCAATCACTCAGCTCATTTGAGCCAATGTCTAAGGTTCTGAGATTGATTTTTTTTTTTTTAACTTAAAACTAGAGGCTAGGCCAGGGGTGGGCAAACTTTTTGACTCGAGGGCCACAATGGGTTCTTAAACTGGACCGGAGGGCCGGAACAAAAGCATGGATGGAGTGTTTGTGTGAACTAATATAAATTCAAAGTAAACATCATTACATAAAAGGGTACGGTCTCTTTTTTTTTTTTAGTTTTATTCATTTCAAACGGGCCGGATCTGGCCCGCGGGCCGTAGTTTGCCCACGGCTGGGCTAGGCCCTAGCTCGTTTGGCTCAATGGATAAAGCGTCAGCGTGTGGACTGAAGGGTCCTGGGTTCGATTCCCGGTCAGGGCACATGCCCGGGTTGCGGGCTGGATCCCCAGTGTGCGGGCGCAGAAGGCAGCCGATCAATGGTTCTCTCTCATCATTGTGTTTCTATCTCTCTCCCTCTTCCTTCCTCTCTGAAATCAATAAAAATATATAAAATAAAATAAAATCCCAGGAGTCAACACATTACGGAGGAGCAGGTCAGAATCAAGGCATTCGGAAGTCCTTGTGTTTTTAAAGAGGAAGACAAATTTATTAACTTTAGACTTTATTACAGCAAATGTAAATGTTAAAAACTTAAGAGATACCAATCAAAGAATAGAAACATGTTGCAAATCTTCCAAATACCAGGCAAGAGGAGGAATAAACCCTGCACAGGTAGTTAGTCAGCAGGTGGGGGGGGGGAGCCCCAACAGCTCCACTCCCACCTTGTCCTGGTCCTCGTCCGCCCCACTGGCTCCGCGAGGCACTCCTGACTGCCCTCCTCGGGCGGGCGGATGGACGGGCGGACGGGCGTCTTCCGGAACCAGCCAGCTCCAGGCACCTGGTGCTGAGCCCTGCCTTCTCTGGAGGCAGCAGGAAGTCCACACTCCTGCCTAGAGGGCGGGCTCTGGCCCCTGCACAGCCCCCGCCCTGGCCCCTTCCCCCGCTTGTCCCACAGGCACGGGGCAGGCTCTCCCGACCCTGCTCTGTCCTCCCGCGTCCACGTCTGGCACAAGGCCACTCCTGGCACGTAGGCCACCCCATAAACACTTGTCGAGGGGGCAAGATAGAACGCGGGCTTTGTGCCGTAACCCCGCGTGTCTTCAGAGCCCCGGCGCTCTGCAGAACCATGCACTAAAAATACAGAGCGGAGGGAAGTAGGTTAAGAGCAAACCACCAGCATCTAGGAAGCCGCCTCCCGACTCCAGCACCCAGCCTTGACCCTGACCGTCCTCGGAGTGGAGACGCTGTCCTGTGAGTGCGAAGGCTGAGCAGACGCCACTGTCAGCCCAGGAGGGAATGCCTCTGGGCTCTGCTGTGGAGCAGGGAGGGCGAGCAGAGGCCTAATAGGGCCCTGATGGCCCCGCCAGCCCACCCTGCCGCTCCGCTCCCCCTGCTCGCCGGCCACTCCGGCAGGGTCTGCGCAGAGGAAAGCATGTGCACACAGACTCTGGGCGAAGGGAAAGTTCGCTTTGGTTTGGTTTGTTTGCCTGATCTGCCCTCTCTCCCTCCCGCCAGTGAAGATAGTGATCCGAGGCGACAGGAACACGGGCAAGACCGCGCTGTGGCACCGGCTGCAGGGCAAGAAGTTCGTGGAGGAGTACATCCCCACCCAGGAGATCCAGGTCACCAGCATCCACTGGAGCTACAAAAGTGAGTGCTGGGGAGTGGGGGGCAGGGGGGTTTCATTCCATTGTCCTTCTTGGCCTTGGTTCCCTGGAGACAGCATTCTCAGTGTGGCGTCGTCATGGAAACTGTACATGTGTGGGAGCGCCCTGACCTCACAGGGGCTCTCGTGACTCTCATCAAAGTCACTTCAAAAAATGAAAGATAAATTTAAAAAAAGAAAAGGAAAAAAAAAAAGAGCAAAAGAAGCAAAGTAAATAAGTAAATAAATAAATAAAAAGTCACCTCTGGGACGCCCTAAGTCCCCTCCCAGAGGAGCAGACGGGCAGCAGGGGCTCCATTCTTGAGCCTGGAGACCTCGGAAAGGCAAACGCTCTGGCCTCACCTGGGACACGGCCCACCCTGGGAGCCAGGCCCTGTGCGGCTCCTCTGCTGCGGCCTTTGCTCCATCCGCTGAGGGCCCTTGGTCATAGCCGGTCTCTACGTGGGGTTTGCAGTCCCTGTCCCCTAAGGACTTGATGGGCACCTGGCGGCCTCCGGGCCTGGCTGGAGCCGCCAGCAGCTTCCGGGGAGGCGGAGGAGCTGCTGGGTGTGGGGATTCGAGAGGTGGTGAAACGTTGCTTTTCGCTGAGAACACACGGGTCACAGCAGGACACAGGCTCCGCAGGGTCCTGAGTCCCCTTCGTGAGGCCAGGCTGGTCCTGGGACCTCTGCCGGGCGGTGTGGCCCCTGCTCACCAACCAGGGCACCTGCAGCCTCCGGGCAGCTCAGGGAGCCTCACTCACCTCCCCCCG